GGGTTGTCCTTTGGACAGGAGTGCAGCGCCATAGCTGCTTTGGGTTGTCCTTTGGACAGGAGGGCAGGGCCCTCAGTAGTCCGCCATAGCCTAGGCATGTGAGAGGAGGAAGAAGGAGGGAAGCCATAGCTATGGTGGACTTGTTGTTGTTGTTGTTGAGTCAGCAGTAAGAGGGAACTTCGGATATTGATTCTGGTTCATCCACTCATTGTTATTATTATTATTGGGAGAAGAATAAGATTGGCGAAGAGAAGGAGGAGGAGGAAGGTGGAGAGATAAGGGGGAATTGTCATTCTTCTTCTTCTTCTTCTTCTTCTTCTTCTTCTTCTTCTCCTTCTTCTTCTCCTTCTTCTTCTCCTTCTTCTTCTCCTTCTTCTCCCCTCTCCCCTCTGGTCTCTATCTCTTTGCAAGTGCCTTCATTTCTTTCGCAATTGGGTGGCATTGTCTTTCATTGTGAATTTGCACTTTGGGAATGACCAGGATCGTAACATCTGGCATTAACACCACATACTCAAGGCCAACCTGCGCAGTACGTGGGCACTAAAAGCTGGTATGGAACATACGATCAAAGAAGAAAAAGGGAGGTCGTAAAAAGCAGTCTTTCACTTTAATAAAATGTTAATTAACAAAATACAATGTCACAACATTGGTCTGGCCACAGATCAACTTTTACATCAGAAAATCCTTCTGGCGGTTTGGAATTTTTCTTTACTGTGTTTGTGGCTCTTTGGTATGCTTGATATGCACAGGTTGCAGGCACATTGTTTTCCTTTTTTTCCCCAAAGAGCGACGGCCTTGAGGTATCATCAGTGAACTGACCGACCCCATGTAATTCAGAATTATTTCATTCTGTTCATCTGGTTGCATCTGGATTCAAACTCGGGTCTGTATTTCAACATTTCATGGGTGTACCAACTGAGCTAGACACGTCGGTAACTGCAGGCATATTGGGCACTGGAAGTGCTATAGAGACGATTTTTACAACACCAACACTCCAGAAAAGTGGGTCTGAAGAAGGGCTGTATAATCCTGTTCGGTAAGGAATTGATAGGGAGAGCAGCTGGGATAAACCAAGAACCCATTCTGCATCACCGTTTTCCTCTGTAGCAGATTAACTTGCACATCAACTTTCCCATCGGTGCATTGAGATCATTAGACAGCATTTGGAATTCAAACCTTTAGGATAGAAGAGGGGAAGATTTGTTTGACAATATAGCAAAGACTAGAGCCTATAAGTAAGAGTGAAGGACACTGTGGAGACCATGAGGGACACTATGGAGACCACTAGCAAGCCAGAGAGTTGAGCACTACTTAGAAACGGCGACCGGGAAGGAAAACAAGGTGTTCAACCATGGTAGATGTATTCGGGAGGTTACTCTGAGTTTGCTGGGAAGCTACGCCTGCGATTTGTATGGCAATAGCTATCTGTTGCCCTTTCGACAAACAGTCAACTTTTCTCTTCTGAGAAATCCCTGTGGAGAGTTGAACGCGTACTTGAGGTGGAAAAATGTAGAGAGATGGAATCGCACATATCCACTTTTTCTTTCTAAGAAATTTGACAAATGAACCCTGTGTGAGACCGCCTGTGAGAGAAAAGTGACACGTCCATTGGAATTCGACAAGATGCAGCGGATGTATGCCAGCCAATTACAAAGACGGACCACTTCCAGGGAGTACAAATGACTTTCACAGTGTTCAATGGTCGAAGGAAGAGAGAGACTTGCAGTGGCTCCAAGGATGAGCAACCACCAACCTGCTAATGTTGTCAAGTGTTAGCTCATCATTGAAGAGAGTCGCAAAGCTCACAATGTCCTCATTGGAAACACGCCTTCCTGTCCGAACCTACAACAACATGACACAAAGCAACAACCAAGACCAGGACAAGGTGAACCCACCAGCCACACTTATAAAAGTCACTTCTCTTCTCTTTATTATACCTTAAAGGGAAAAGCGGTCCAAGCGTGACGCTCCCACTGGGCCCAGCAAAAATCGGGCAAGGAGTTCCGCGCAGGGAACCGAGGAGGGGGCGTCAGTTCGTGGGCGCAGTATTTACGAAATGTGTCGTGCTGGTGCACGACGGTGGTGGTGCAGGGGAATTTCACGGGGGCGGGCCCCGTATTTGTGACGACGGTGGTGATGCAGACTGCTGGCGGGTGAGGGCGCGGTCCGTGGGAAAAGGAAGGCCGGGCCGGGTGGCAGGAGGCGGAGGGTCGCCACAGAGAGAGAGAGAGAGAGAGAGAGAGAGAGAGAGAGAGAGAGAGAGAGAGAGAGAGAGAGAGAGAGAGAGAGAGAGAGAGAGAGAGAGAG